ACGATATTGAACTCGTGCAATGCAATTAAACTCTATTTGACACTTTGACACTACCTAGTTTCCATATTACTATAATAAAATATTATGTTACTAGGTTATAACCCGTGAGCACCATGGGTTAGAAATTAATATATATATATATATATATATATATATATATATATATATATATATATAAAATTAAATTATAACTTATTTATTTGAAATTTATATTGATGATAGATAATAAAATCTTTACTAATTAAAGTGTATATATTTTGCAGTAATATGATAATGACATAACTATTGGTTGAAATTACGAGCATTTTGTGATTTGAATATGCAATTGTTATTTTGTATTTGTATATATGCAAAAAATTTATAATTTTATAAAATGAAATATAATTATAACTAAAACAAATACTGAAATTTATATAAAAAATTAACTTGTACAAACTTTTTTACAAATTTCTAAAAACTTCTTTATACACAACATTTGATGTTTTATTTGTTGGTCTACCATCTTTATCTAAAATCAACAATTTTAATCCTTGTCTACTTTGAACTTTTGATAAAGACTTTCCTTGGCTCTTATTAATTGTCATTGAAAAAGACATAGCTAATGGAAATTATATTCTTTGGAATTTGAAAGAGATATTGTCTTCAGAAGGAGTTAAAGACATTCTTGGAATAAAAGTTCGGTTTCCAATATTACTTTCAGTTAAGATAACTGCATCAATAACACGTTTGCCCAAAGACATAACCTGTAGTCTAGTCCCATTACATAAGCCATTGTTCTGATTAATGTTTCTCAATAACTTAACTGGAACACTGATTTTTAAAATGAGCTTATGGTTTGGCAGACCTGAGACTTTAAGATCATTTAAAACATCAGGTGAGTATAAATTTGTATCAAACTTATCATGAAGAAACTAGGATTGGCATAGGCTATCTGAACTTAAGTATTCTGTTGGTTCTCCTGGAAGCAATGACAACAAACGATCGTTTATTTCTTGGACAACTTCATTATTGGGAGCAATTATTGCTCTTTCTTGAAAATAATCAGGAATGTTGAAGTTTTCCAGTATAGAAGGATATACAAAACTAATTAATGAACCTATACGATTATGTGGATTAGTAATGAGAATATCTTCTGGAATATCAGCAATTGCTTCACCGTCATTCGTACCGCCAAGATTACCTTCTCCTATGTCTAAAAGTCAAGTTGCAAAATCCCTTATTTGTTTAATAGAAGATGGATCACTTCCAACTGTTAACCTTATGTTTTTGGTTAATTTATGAACTTTGCATTGTTGCCATAAATAAGAAGAACTTAAAGAAGTATTAACAATGTTTTGTCTACTGCCATCTGGAACAATAAATAGAATTTGTCTGAAATCATATCCAAAGATAATCACTTTCCCTCTAAATGTAATATTTGAATTCGTAGGATTGACACACTTTAAAGTTAAATATTTGAACCTGTAAAATAGTAGAAAATAATTTATTTGAACATGTAAAGTTAAATATATATATATTTAAAATAATAATAAATAACATATTCAAAATAAATTAATAAAACATATAATTAGTGAAAAATAAATTAAGAAAAATACCGTATTGGGTACAATGAATAACATGTACAATAGGTGTACGATGAGACAATGACGTGGTATATTGTTTTTTGGATTTTATGTTATCCAAATATATCTTTTTTTTTTCTTCTCTCTCTAGCGTCCGTTGAATTCATGTCCTTGTTTGGTATGTAATGACAATAATAGATTATAGTTAAAAAGAAAATTAATAATTTAAAAATAACTGTTACAGACTTACAGTTAGAGACGATTGGTAGCTCATATAATATGTATAAAATTGAGTAATAATGAAATAACAAATAATTTGGGGCCGGAACAGGTTAAAGGATATTTATTGGATAATCATAATAACGGTTTAGAATTAGGTACTTGTTTACTGAATATTAATTCTGCTAAAAAATATCATTTCGGACCAAATGGTCATTTTGCCAAAAAAAAAGGTATAATTAAAAAAAACAAAAAAATATTAGATTAATAAATCGTAGTAAGTATTAATCAACTAAATGTAATTAAATAATCAATATGGAAATGCATACATACTTTATACAAATCGTTAAATATTAGGTTTTTAAAAATCAATTTACTTTGTTAATATGTATGCATTATTCAAAATTTAGATTGAAATTATTTCCCTTTCAAAACCAATAAAATAAATGGATTTATCATTTAAGTCTACTTTAATTAATTTAATCACAAAAAGAATCGTTACCCCGATTTTTTAATCACTTACTATAACAACTTCATATATGTTTTTTTGGGAACACGATGTAAAAGAGAAAACTGAGAAAGGAACATACTTGCGACAACGATGGAGGCTCTTGTGCAGAATCAAACGGAAAATTGTGGAAAGGGGATAAAGTTGTTGCGGTTACAGAACGAGAGTCGGTAAGTTTGGGCTAATATTGAACCGATGATAGGCTTCTTAATACGCGTATTGAACAAGTAAAAATGAGGGTTTTTTTTATGAAGATGAAATCTGCTTGAAGACAATAGGAAAAATTTCTCCTTATTCAATCCTGAGATCATAAGACCTCTTTATGTATGTGAAAAAATTTAAGATCCCGAATATCTCTCTGAAAAATTTAAGATACCGCTAGTGTAATTCGAATTTCATATTCCATCGTACCCTGAAAGAAGAGGATACATTATATATTTTTTATTAATTAATAATTATTATTAAATTTTAATTCTTTATGTTTAAAAATGTGGATGTTGGTGGGAGATAGTAGAGGCGGCATTACCTAAAGTTCAGAAATCAAGTAACATGATTCCCAATAAAGACCAAGAGGTTGATACTTCACCCACTAATAACAAACCAGGATTGTCTGATGCGATTCAGATAAGTCATGAAGACGATTCTAATGAAAAAATGGAGGAGTGTCTACAGATGACACCACCGGATTCAAACATCTATAATAACCCAATCTTGATAAAACCTCAGAAGTGCTTCTAAATACAACAAATGCTGACACCGTATAAAGTTTCAACAATGAAAACAATGATTCTATCTTATCTTCTAATCAGGTAATCTTCACCATTCTTTGTTCTAATATGGCAGCTTCCACTATCAGTATCAAGAAATCTGATGTGATTTTTTTTATTAAGTACTCAAATCATGTTCCAGGATGAAGATGTTGCAAACTCCAACATCCTTTAGTCATAGAAGATTGGTTCTATTCTTGATGAGTGTTTCATGGGACGATCCAGGTAATATTTTACTTAAGTTAGTTTAATTTCTTACAAAATCTTTGTAACCATGTTGCTAATTTAGGTCAACTTTTATTTGGGCATTCTGAATAGGTGCTTCAAAAAGCAACCAAATTTCAAAACCTGATAACACTTCAAAGCAAAACCAACAACCTCCAACACCATCTTTGATTAATCAGAGTATTATTGTGGATGAATCTCAAAACACTTCAAATGAGAAAACAGACTCTCCAACTTTTACATTGACTCCAATTAAAACATCACTATTCATCTTTTTAGTCAATTGTATTTTTAATTTATTTCTTTCATAATTTGGATGCATATATTTGGTTTAACCTATTTTTTAAAGTTTTGTTTAATCTTTCTGGTTTTGACAAGGTTTAAAACAACTTGTGTACTTGGAACCAACAACCATGATAAGTAGTTCCTTATTCTTCCACAACCATCCATATTGTTGGTTTACAATTTCCGTAATCATCAATCCAGTTCACTTTTGAGTTTTATTGTGAAAAAAATAGTTTGTAACCTAATTATGTGTAAGAAATATATAAAATTAATTTTTGGAAGGTACTTTTTCATCCATTAAGATCATTTCAATTGACTAAATTTCATTCTTTTTGTAGAAACACATTTGATGCCAAAGGTTTATGACACAAAACTTTATGACACAAAACTTAAAAGTCAAGTCATCCCTGATTACATCCAAATCAGGTATCAAGGTAACATTTGTTCTGCCATTTATTTGCAAAAAATAAAACTATTAGAACAATAAAGTTTTTGTTATAAAACTGTTAGAAATGAATAATATGATTATAGAATATGATAATAAGACAATAAGACAATAAATAATATTACATTGGTATTCGAGTAAAAGAACAAAAAAATATTATAAGAATCAGATTCTATCAAAAGGAGAAGAAGAAATAAATATTATAAGAATCGGATTGTATAAAAAGGAGAAGAATAAATAAATAAAATAAAATAACATAATGAAAACTTAATAGAAGTTGATTAAAAATGTGCATCCTTTTTTTCATTTGTTTTTTAGTCGAAATATATAGGCTGTAGGGCCTTCAATAAAATCGAATTTTGATCGAGTAGGATCACTTTATATATTTTTTTTTATAATCCTATTGAACATGAAGTATGATGTAGACATGGTACACATGCATGAAAATAAGTGGATGCATGAATATAAGTAATGATAAATGATAAATTAGACAATAGATATGGGGTTCACATTAAGAATACTCAAACTGGGATAGTTGGTCGTATTTAAAATATTATACATGATAGCAATGTATTTCATCACTGGATTGGTAATAACTTCTGGACGTTTGCTTATAAGGAAATTCATAATAGTAGTGTATTTCATGATGTAAAAATCGAAAGAATATAAAAAGTCAAGTGATGGGTTTTATTTATACATGTAAAAATCAGATTACAAAAGAAGGAGAAGAAGAAAGAAATTAAAAAAAAAAAAAAAAAAAACTCTTAAATGACGATGGTTGAAATTGTTCATCCTTTTTTCTTTTGTTTTTGAAATATCAAATCAAGTAGGTATAAATAGGTAACTGATGGGTTTTATTCATATATGTAAGAATCGGATTGAAGAAGAAGTAGAAGAAGAAGAAGGAATTCAAATTAAAAAATCAAAAGAATGAACACTGATAATTGATGATGATTCACTAACCTGATGATTTTGGTATTCTGTGACAGAAAGTTCTGTGAATGAAAGTGAAGTTCTGTTGAATTCTGTGGAAAGGGTTAATACTAAGATTATGATATTGATGATACTTGATGTATAAAAGTAAAAAATTTAGCCTATAAATCAGGAATCAGTATCAAATTTAGTTTTATATTGATTGATATTGATATTGATATTTAGTGATTAATATGACCAAAATATTTTCAATTAATTCAAATTTCGGTAATTTTGGATGTTTAAGATATTTAGGATATATATTTTAGGATATAAATCATATTTTAGTGATTATATGCAAAGAAATATTTTGAATTGATTCAAATTCCGGTAATTTTGGATGTTTAAGATATTTAGGGATATAAATCAGATAAAATAACGAATTCTGCATTTTTAATTTCTGCATATTTTGTTCCTATTTTTATGCATGTAAACTCCAATGATTTTTTTTCTTAATTACGTTGATTATGCTGATAATTATGTTGATATGTAGGGTTTTGAATGTGAACGAATTCTACTGTGATTATATGGGCGGGAAAAGAAGATATAGAATAATAGAGTAATGACACGATTATATGGGCGGGAAAAGAAGATATAGAATAATAGAGTAATGACACGTAACATTATGTTGTGGTAATAGTTGGACAAGTGGCATTTAGTAGAGTGTTTTATTAGGTAGAGAGATGTTTTTTATATGACTTTTTTGGTTTAATGATATTATTTCTATATAGACTTATAGTATTAATACTCAAATATATAAATTATATATAAATATAATATAAAAATATAAATTATAAGTAATATTAAAAAAAACTGCTATATCACCGCTATATCAACCGTGATAACCATGGTCTCAAATAGCAGCATATGACCGTTATTGAAATTTTGACTGCGATAACTCTATAGAAGAAAATGAGATAATTTGTGATTGCTTCCCACAAAATGGAATTTGCACATTAAAGACAAAAGAATTATGGAAGATGCTAAAAGAATTAGAATTTCCAAGACAAAAGAACACCTTAGCAAAACGTTTCATCTATTTTTATAATAAATAACGAGATTTTGTGTGATTGCTTCCACCCAACTTTAATTTGCAGACAAAGAATATCCAAGATTTTGTGTGATTGCTTCCATCCAACTTCAATTTGCATTTTCAAAATAAAGAATATCGTTGTATGCTATGAAGATAGATGAAGTCATAGTCGAAGACATCTACTTCAACTACAAAACTTTCTTATTTTAGCATATTTGATCCCTAAGCTTTTTTACGTTCACACTTTTTACCACTTACTTTGTCGAATGCCACTTTCTATCCCATACTTTGTAAAATATCACTTTTACTCCTTTAAATTTAAACACCGATACTTTCATCTCTTATCTTTCGTATCTTCACAGTTTGTAGGTTTCACATGTTTAATCCCTATATAGAAAATAAATTACAAAAACGGTCCTTATAATTTACATAAGGTCCTTTTGTATAACTTCATGGTGTATATTTTTAAAAAATTATATAAATGCCCCCTTATGATGACAAATTTTAAAGAGTGTTTTATCCATACGTAAAAAATGAATTACGAAAATGGTCCTAGGGATTTTTTTATTTTATTTTATTTTAAAAAACAATCAATTGTAATTTTGTAAATAAAATCGTGTATACGTCCCAGCAAAGTGGAGATGAGCATTTTCTGGTTAAACATAATTTCCTTTAAATTATTTCATCTTTTATACACATATATAAAACTCCATCGCCTCGTATGGAAATAGTAATTTAGGAGTGTAATTTAACGAGTGTATATGCTTGCGGAAAAAAAAGTTATATTTTATAAGAAGTTATACTTAAATCACAAAAACACGACTCTCAAATACCTTATTGAATTTTACCACGATACTGGATTTTATGAAAATCATATATGATAAACATCAAACTATAAAATAACAAAAAACGAAGTAGCACAACCAAAGGGACACGTGGTGGGAGGAGTGATACGTGTAGCTAAAAGAAGAAAGTAATCCCATTTTATATAAGCTATAATATAGATATTTGGGAATAGTCTTGCATTCGCACACTGATCACCGCTAGCTCCTGTGGAAGAGAGTAGAAATGGGACAAGGAGAAGAGGTAAACACCAGAAGCCCACCGGAGGTAGAGATTCAGGTAAACTAGCCACCGGTACATACCGGAACTGGGATTCTCTTTGTGTATATACGTGTGTTTAATTAATCAATCGATCGATCAACTGCATCCAGGAAAGAGGGGAGATATATTTCTTTTACAGGCCTAAAGTAAATAAGGAAGAAGCACATAGCTCCGATGATGTGCAGCGGATGTACATAGTTCTAAGGCCCGAGTCCGGCGAGACGTCCACTCAAATCAAGCAGAAAGAAGAAGAAGAAGAAGAAGAAGAAGACGACCCACCGCCTACTCAAGGTGGCTATGGCTCCCAGGTGTGCTTTTTAGCTGCCAAACGAATTTTTGTCTTTAATTCAAGTTGATATTACACCATCCTGACTAAATTTAACTTAACATTAGCAAACATGCATTTGATCTATTAGGTGGTAAACATAGAGAAGAATTCACTCCTCCGGTTCATTGTCATGGGCCAGAAGAAGCTCCCGGATCCAACCAAGAAGAGCAGGCCGCTTTGGGGCTTCGTAGAGTTGGTGACCACCAAGATTGAGGATGTCAAGGATGCTCTGAAAGGAGGTTAATTAAATTGGATCAATGTTACATTGGTTAATATGTATGTGGATGATCTTCTGCTTACTTTAAAAATAAAAACATAAACTTGTGGTGTACAGGGGAATATGATACTGCGAAGAGTGGACACAGGCACAAAGCTGCAGCAAGACCAGTAGGGGAAGGCATATACCGCATACTAAGGCATCACAGCGGGAAGAAGATGCACACCCATCTGATTTACAAGCTAGAATTCCCATCGGAAGAAGAGAAAAACGAACCACAAGAGGCTTTAAACATCGAAAAAGAGGCATCTTTCCTTATACAAATAAAGAATCCGACCCAGAAAGGACAGTTTAGGGGACTTAATAAGAAGAAAAGAGCGGTGTTCCCTGCCCACCTGCAAGGACAGTTTGGGAAATTACGCTACCATGCTGCAGATCCTCCTGACTTTTTAAACTATGAAGGTTGCGAGTTTTTGCTGATCTCAGCATCCGACGACATTGAAGAAGAGCTTGGGTTGGAGTTGAAGAGCGAGGTTGAAGAGACACAGGATGCTTCTTGCTCCGACCTTCTTAACACTTTTGGAGAGACTTCATCCACAAATGCCCTTCTCAAAGGGATTTGGGTTTGAATATGCATGCTCTTCGTGAATTAAACTGTGAGCTAGGATGCGTCAGTATTTGGAAGTAGTTATTAGTTAGTTACTTAGTGGTGATTATGTGTATATATTTGTTTATGTTAGTAGTTCAGGTTTTCCAGTTCGTATAAATGCAGTTGTTATGGTTAGTAAGTAACGTTGTTGAGTTGATGGTTTGCATATACTGATATAAGTATATGTATGACGATGACAGTATTCATCATCAGACATTCTTGCACATAATTCATCTAAAGATATTCATAACAGAAACATATATATCCTGTTTTATTCGGCTTGCATAAAATCCAAAACGTGCATGATGTAAAAGATACTTTCTTTAGTATCGATTCACGTATAACAATTTAGTGCACTGAAGCACTACAATCATAATTTTACAATGTAACTTCTGCAAATGAAGACCACAAATATGGCATGTTTTTCTTTTAACAGCCGATATGGGTTTTTTTGCATGGGCATATACCAGAACATATGACTACAACACCTAAAACCCTATGTTTGCCGACGGCATTTTATGAACCTGTACCAATGACAATGTCATTGGATATATCCATAGAGGATACCGACAAGGATACCGACAACATGTAGTTGGCACAGACTAGTCATGATAGGTGGAAATAGTCGTTGGTCGGGGTAACAAGTTGTCCGCATATGATCCGAGAATGATTTTTGAAAACAATTAAAGTTTTATTAAATACATGTGGCAAAGAAATGTCGTCATCCAAATGTCGTCGGGATGAGTATAACTACGATTTGTCGTAGGTATAGATAAGAACTGTAGCATAGCGACGACATTAAGGTAATTGTGTTATTTAAATAGTTTTTTTGTTTATTGTAAATAAGTAAATATATAATTTATATATGTGGTTTAGGTTCCAATGGCGATGTTTGGGGGATCTGTAAACTATGCATCTGCATTATATATTGCAGCTGCAACAGCCAAAACATTGGAAAAATTTGAAGCAGAGCTTCTTGATCTTGTTGCAGCCTCTTAGAAATCTCCAACTTTTTCACAGTTCATGAAGGATTTGGCAGTGCCTGCAGATACACGAGTCAAGGCTATGACTCAGATCTGCGATCAGGCTAAATTTTCAGAAATCACAAATAACTTTTTAGGTATCATGTCATTCATTTCTTTATCATATTACCGCATACCATGTTTTGCAAATCTATCAACTTGTAGAAAGAATTTAAAAGTAGAATGTTGTAATAGAATGAAATGAAAGTAGGATGCTTGAAACATTCAGACCAAAATACCTCTGAAACACTTGTACATGTTTCTTATGACATAGAAAAATGTAGCATGCTTCTTTTGTAGTGTGACATAGCTCAGGGACAAAAAGGTAATTTGACAACGAAACATGATTATCTTACCATGTATGAGCAGAAGGCAAACGACCAAAGCTTCCATAAGCTTTGTGAATCTGATTGGTGGTGCTAGTCTTTGGAGTTGCTTAAAATCCATTCCCAAATCTAGGAGTCACCTCCCAAACAATAACAGTAGATGGGTATAAGATCCATAGGAGAAAACATAACATATTGTGACAACCCGAAATTTTTTATCTTGTAAAGTCAATTCAATCAACCAAAAGTCATACTAAATTATATTTCCTTCTAGCCTTGTTAAGGGTCATTCTAATGAGTTCTAAGCCTAGTACACTGGAATTGAGTGTTATGAAGTGTTAGCTCCATATCAGAAGGCTACAACCAAACCAACAAACCCAACATATGAGGTTCACGGTCGCAAACCCTGTTCACGACCGTGAACTCTCTTCTGGTCAGTGATCTCTTCCCTATATATATATATATATATATATATATATATATATATATATATATATATATATATATATATATATATATATATATATATATATAAAAGGTCACTTCACTTTTCTTCATTTCTTTCCCCCCTTGGCCGCAAACTCTCTCAAGTATCATCCACCAAGAACTCTTATATCATCCCCAAAAAGGTTAGTAATACATTTATACTTGTTCATGCTTAGCAACGTCTTTGCTCTATCCTTTATTCATCACTCTTAAACACCATCTTCAAGATCTTCAAGATCTTGAATGGTTTATGGTCGTAAACCCTTCAAAGGATCTTAGGCTGTGAACCCCTTTGGTCGTGAACCCTTCATGGTGTGGCCGTGAACTCACTTAAATCAATCTCATGTGATTGTAACACTTCATTTCAAGTGTTTCCTAGTCCCAAAGGTTGTTTCCTTGCATGTTAGTTGTTTTAAACACTAATTACATGCCTAGATATGCCATTATATGTCATTTAGGACTCGTTTGTTTCTCTGGAATTCATTCGTCGAACTTCTCATCCTTACTCAAATCTTCAGTTGAGTCACCCACATAAGGTGAGTTCATACCCCTATAATCAATCTTTTTAAATGCTTTTGAGGGGGGGAGGATACAAGTGATGGGTTTTGAGCATTCTAACACTTCCTAAGTGTACATGCAACCCTAATAAACCTTTGATCTATGTTTGTCTAAGATGCATGCAAATAATTATTTTCCAAGGTTCATATCCTAACTAGCATGGCATGGGGAACATGAATCAAATAAAGCTAGTAGAAATACTTACCTTGTAGTAGTAGTTGAATGCTTGGAGTTTTAGAGCCTAGCACAAATAGTGTGAATGCCTCAAATGGAAATCACAAATCACCACAAACTTGGAACTTTAAGAGAATAATCACTACTATCTTGAAATTGGCCCTCTTGCTTTACTCACCTCAACAAGTGTCAACTAGTGTTGATTTCAAGAACCAAAGCCTCCTTTATATAGTGTGGTGGATTAGGGTTACATCCATGTAAACCCTAATACCCATGTCTCTTCATTTCCATGAGATCCATGGATTAAAGCTCCATGGAGTATCCATGGACTTTTCCATGCAAGCCTAGCCCATTCGAAATAAGCATTAGACCACACTATATAAATATAGAAGCCCATATTTAATTAGTAATATCTTTGATCTCTAAATTAATCCTAGATTAATTATAGATCAATACTAATTAAATAATATGATCTTATATTAATATATTAGAACTTATAATATATTAATAAATCATAACTTGTACTATTCTCAAAAGATTATCCATAAATTGTTTGGGTGAAGTGCAACCCAAATGGACCATGCCGGGTCGGGTCAAGTACATACCAAATATAGTTATGGACTTAGACACTATATCCAACAGTCTCCCACTTGGATAAGTCTAATAACTATAGTTGCAAGTATGACTTCAGGAGCCGATCAGTAATCGTAGCTCTTTAAACTCTGTTGAACTAGAATGCGCCATTTTAGATAAGTGATCATATAATCCTCTATTCAAGATATCAGCCGGACAAATACATGGAACATGGTCTTACTTATTGTCCAACATTTGTTTCCCGATTTCCAATTTGTTTGACATAGAACTTAACTGAACACATCAATTTAGTTCTGACCGGGCCCGGTACATAGGTCAAAACAAAATCATCGAGGGGCCCAGATATCAGCTTCTAATCCAAGAAGGAACAGATAAACTTCGACTCATATGCTTGTTCTACCACTCATTGAACTACACACAAAAGCATGTTTTATAACATCGAGTTACTAATGCATTTTCGTACAATCAATGCATAACCAACTCGTAAGTAACAAATCATATCTCTAGGTTTGAAGACTTATATGATATTACCATCTCACGATCACTCGAGATAAAATTCCATGAAGTGATTCCAGTGAGCGTGGGTTGAGTCCAATGCTCAGAACTTATGAGCACTCATGATTGTTGTAGCCATGTCCAACACCTTAGACCTCTTCAACCAATCATGACAGTCTTGATTCATACCTACTTCTGACATATGACCGACTGTGGAGGTTTGAATAATATGATATACCAAACATAATTATTCTGGAAGTCAAAACATGCAAAAAGAAATATAGTAAATGATCGACAAGAGATAGCAACACTTTACTCATAAATAAAACACCTTTTATTCATCATCTAATGTCAATTACACTTTACAAATTTCATAATTTATCTAAGTACTAAAACTTATATCATCCTTCAGCCCTATGCTCTGAGCATGTTGGAGATGCTTAACCCTACTCAGTCCCTTCGTGAGGGGATCTGCTGGGTTCTCATATGATGATACCCTCTTTGCCACAAGGATTCCTTCTTCTATTCGATGTCTGATGAAGTGATATTTTCTGTTAATGTGTTTGGATCTCCCATGATCTCTTGGTTCCTTGGCTAAGGCAACCGCACTATTGCTGTCACAGAAAATCTCCATTGGCTCCTTTATAGCTGGTACAACTCCAAGGTCTCCGATGAAGTTCTTTAGCCATATAGCCTCCTTTGCTGCCTCGCTTGCTGCTATATACTCTAATTCACAAGTGGAATCAGCCACTGTCTCCTGCTTGGAACTCTTCCAAGTGATTGCTCCTCCGTTTAAGGTAAAGACCCAGCCCGACTGAGAGCGGAAATTATCCCTATCAGTCTGGAAGCTAACATCACTATACCCTACAACTCTCAAGTCATCACTCCCACCAAGGTTAAGGACCTAGTCCTTAGTCCTTCGCAGGTACTTGAGGATATTCTTTACCACAGTCCAGTGTGCCTTGCCAGGGTTCCCCTGATACCTACTCACCATGCTTAAAGCAAAAGCTACATCAGGTCGAGTATACGTCATAGCATACATGATCGATCCTACAACTGAAGCATAAGGTAGTCGACTCATTTCTGCTATCTCAGCCTCAATACTAGGGCTTTGTGTCTTACTTAATCTGGCATTACTCTGAATGGGTAACTCAACTTTCTTGGAGTTATGCATGTTGAATCTTTTCAACACTTTGTCCATATAGGTGCTTTGACTAAGTCCAATTAGTATTTTACTCCTGTTTCTCAAAATCCTTATCCCTAGGATATAGGCAGCTTCACCAAGGTCCTTCATAGCAAAACACTTCCCAAGCCAGGACTTTACTTCCTGCAGGTTTGGGATGCAATTTCCTATGAGTAGTATGTCATCCACATACAGTACCAAAAAGCTGACTATGCTCCCACTATCTTTGATATAGACACAAGATTCATCTTCACTCCTTGAAAAGCCAAATTCTTGGACATTCTCATCAAAGCAAAGATTCCATCTGCGAGGTGCCTGTTTCAATCCGTAAATGGATTTCTCGAGTTTACACACTCTATTAGGGTACTCTAAACTGACAAAACCCTCTGGCTGAACCATGTAAACATCTTCAGCCAACTTTCCATTAAGGAAAGCGGTTTTGACATCCATTTGCCAAATTTCATAGTCATGAAATGCAGCAATGGCTAACAGAACCCTAATAGACTTTATCTTGGCCACTGGTGAAAAGGTTTCATCAGAATCAACTCCCGGAGTTTGAGAATAACCCTTTGCAACCAGTCGTGCCTTATAAGTGTGTACATTACCATCCATGTCGGTCTTCTTCTTGAAGATCCATTTTCACCCAACTACCTTACGATCAGGTACATGGTCAACCAAGTTCCAAACTTGATTGTCATACATGGATTATATCTCGCTATCCATAGCCTCTTTCCATTTAGCAGCCTCAAGGCCTGCCATGGCTTCCGTGTAGCTGTTAGGCTCATCCAGGCCTACTAGTGTCTCATCACTAATAAGTGTCTCACCTTCTACAGTAATATGGAAACCATAGTAATGCTCAGGTGCATTCCTAACTCTCATGGAATGCCTCAGAGGTACAAATTCGTCAATTGGCTCAACAGGAGTTTCCTCCTCAAGTTGAGGGCTAGCGTTTGAAGTTCCTTCACCACTTGACTCTTGAATTTCTTCAAGATCAATTTTCCTCCCACTGTCTACTTGGCTTATAAACTCTCTCTCTCGAAAGACTCCTCTTCTTGGTACAAAGACCACATTATCACTAGGTCTGTAGAAGAGGTAACCAAAGGATCTTTGTGGATACCCGATGAAAATACACCTCTCGCTTCGGGGTTCTAGCTTGTCATGAGTCTCGCATCTCACAAAAGCCTCGCAACCCCAGATATTGATGTGGTCTAGTTTAGGTACTTTACCAGTCCACATCTCGTGAGGAGTTTTGGAAACTTTCTTTGTAGG